ACTTAACGAGAATAGGACAGTGTGGAATGGGGGAGGTGAAGAGAAGAGGATAGAGAAAGATAGCAAGAGAACAATAGAGAGGTAAGACGTTAGTAAGAAACAGATATGGCTTATTACCTGGTGATGACAAGTATAGTATTCTCAACTGGATTGGTCTGAGAAGTATTTCATGATGGGTAAAGTCTTTTTACAAGCAAAATGAGAAATAGTGATTGACTGTTTTAAAAAATAATTAGAATAATAATAATAATGATTGGAAAAAACATAGAAAAGATATTGAATGATTAAGTGGGGAGATTAATGTCTCTGTATTGACTGACATGCATGGCATTCCCTTTTCAAAAAGCAATGTAATACACTGTAAAATTATATGTAACCCAATGTAATATAAAGAAGATTATGATGATAATAATAATAAAAAAAGAAAAAAAACACATGTTTTACATCAGTATATAAAATTTTCAAGATTATGAAGCCACTTGGTGGTGTTTTACAAAATAAGTACATATCTGAGGATGAAGAGAATATTTCTTTCTTTTAAAATTGTTAAAAATACATGATAATTATGGGTGTGTTTGTGTGCATACCCAGGATCCTAAGAAGAGAATGAAGGAGAAGGGATTGTGGCGTGGCCATCCCGCTAGGGGGTGATTTCTTGCTTTCTGTCTCTTAGTCTCTCCAGTGAGTGCATTCTCCCTACAGCAAAAATCTTTCTAAAAAGTATAAGTAACTCTATGTAATAATTATAAGCAAATATTTAACTGATAATATGTTAATCATAATAACATAAAGGATGTATGTCACAATCATTATAGAAAATAAGTGCTTAGACAGAAGCAAAGATATATAGAGCTGTCAAGGAAATTGCATGGGAAACATAGGACTCTAGGGCTAGAAGAGTAAGATACACAAGAGATGGTATATGTGAAGACTCACTAAAGACAGAAAAAATATTCAAGATATAATACCTTCAGGGATAGTGAGTTCTAATCAATTTTATTAGGACAAGCTAGCAATACAGTTTAAAATGCACAGAATACAAGGAGCCTCCTAAACCATTACAAATGTTGACTTTTTTCTCATAAGTGCTGTCAAACCAGTTCTGGCATAAAGTAATGAAAACAACAATTCCCACATGTCAATTAAAAGGAATTGGAAAAATGAATTAAGGAAGTGAAACTTACATAGGAAAGTTCCAGCAGATTTCAATAAAAAAATCCAAGATTTTCTTAGAGATAAAGCTCAAAGGAGGCAAAACATAAATTAAACATAGATTTCTACTTTTGGTAGGATGCAGAAGGATGCAAAACACTTATGTTTCTATGGTAACAATAAGAAAAATTTGGACAAAGTAAAATAATACTCTTCTATGAGGTTAGTAAAAAGCTGTGGATGCTAGTAAACAAGTTACATAATTTTTGAAAACTCAGGGCCCTTATTCAATAATTACTAAGAATTTCAAGAGGAGGGCATCAGAGCATTAAGTCAACTGCAGGGTCCTTCTCAGCATAAGGTCCTGTGTAACTTCACAGGTTGCAAACCTATGAAACCAGTCCTATTTGAAATCCTGGATGACCTGAAATGCAAAGAGAATCATGTCCTTTTTTTTTGTAGAGGTTTTTGTTATAGGGCGCGTGCGCTCGCCAGAAAGACAGAGAGAGACAGAGAGATAGAAAGCGAGAAATCATCCCCCAGGGGGGGATGGCCACGCCACAATCCCTTCTCCTCCATTCTCCTCTGGGGATCTTGGGCATGCATGCACATGTGCCCGGCGTGAGTTTAAGCCGCCGGGTCCGGGACTCAAACCGTGGTTGACTACATGGGAGTCCAGCGACATAGCCATTACATTAACTGCTGGTCCCTTCGAGAATCATGTCCTTTTAAGTGAACATAGAGCTGTGGCTTCCTTACCGTGGAGGGGGCTCTGCGCATCCATTGACCCTTCCATCGGACGGCCATGGTACAATAACTCTGCAGAGATGAAGATAAATCAGCTGGGTCTTAGGCATCAATGTGAGCTGAGGAACAAAATGAAGTCTGAAAGAGACCCAAATGCAAAAACAAATGATTAATACAAGCTATCTTTTCTCCTACCCCTTAAACCTCATTTCTGAATTTTGCCAAGGAAACAGCAGTGGAGGGTTGGCTGAAAAGAGAATTGGTACAAGCCCACACAGTGACATAGTTCTTGAATTCCAAGGCCCTGACAAAGTCGACACCAAAGATGAACCCAAAACACCTAAAACTTCAGTCCAAACTTCCCTCAGCTAAGAAGGGAGAAACTGGAGGTTGAGTTACTCGCAGGTGAACTCAATTTAATTAAAGCTTTAGCTAGTCCTAAAGCTCTACTCAACTCTAAGAGAATTCAAAAAGATCAGCTTCTCACTGTAAATGCAAAGAAAAGGGAAAGGTTTCTTTTCTCTGAAAACCAAACAAAACTAGATGAAATTAAATTCAGTCTCCACAATTTTTTCAACACAACATTTAATACACAATTAAACACGTACAAGACATACAAAAAAGGAGGGAAATGGGACATGTAATCAGAATAAAACATTCTCTAAACTAACTGAGAAACCAGTTATAATTAGCAGACAAGAACTTTAACGCAACTGTTACAAATATGTTAAAAGATCTTACAATGTATTTTAGGTTAAATTATAGTGTACAATGAGATATGGTATTTCAAGAGAAATGGAAATTTTAAAAGGAAATTCTAGACCCATGTATACACTAATCATGAGAAAACTGGTGTGTCTACATTAATAGCAGATGAAATAAACTCCAAGGAATATTATGAGACATAAATAAGAATATTTCATACTAATGAAGTATGAGTTAATTAAGACATACCAATGCTAAATGTGTATGTACCTAATTACAGACCTACATGATAAAAATAGCAGCAGTTAATAAAACTAAGGGAAACATAGGGCAAACCATCACTGCAGCTGGACATCTAACATATCTGAGTAATTGACGAATTAAGTACATATACACAGCAATAAGGAGATAAAAACTATGAATAGCATTATTAAGCAATGTAGCCTAATTAACATTTCTTGAACTACATCCTCAATTACAAAATATACCGATTTTTAAAGTAGTGAATATAGAACACTCACCAAAATAGACCTATGCTGTATCGTAAGAAAAGTCTCCTAAAATTCCTAACAAGTGAAATAATTCAGAATATGTTCTCTAAACATAATAGAATCAAAATAGAGACAGTAACAACAAAAAATCTGAAGAAATAACAGGAAAGATAAAATTATTTTCTAACTGAATGATAATGAGAGGTTATGAAAACACAGCATATCATAACTTGTGGCATGTAGCTAAAGCTGTGCTTACTTTGGCCCACCCCAAGCAGCACCCACTGGCTGACACTGGTATGTAGCAGGCAGGTCAAGGCCACATGAGGGACCCAGGTTAAAACCTGGCCCACTTAAAGAGGCCAGTGTGGCAGTATGCTCCTGTATTCCCAGCTCTATGGGAGGCTGAGGCAGGAGGATCATGACTTAATAAGACCCTGTCTAAAGAAAAGAAGAAGAAGAAAGTTTGGGGAGGGGAGAAGACCAACTCTGGTTTGAAGTGCTTAGTAATATAAAAAATGAGATGAAAATTAAAAGAAAAGTAAGCAGAAAAAGACAAAATAATAAAGTTATGAACAGAAATCAATGAATTGAAAAATATAAAACAGAAATCAACAAACCAAAGTTGGTCTTTGAAAAGTTAAAAAAGATAATAAACCTTTAGTAGAAGAGAATAAAATAAATAAGAAAAATATAAATGACGAATACAGATGCTATGGAAATAAAAAATCACTAAAGAATATATGTCAATAAATTTAATAATCAAATGAAATGGGAAATCCTTAAAAATAATAATAATCAATAATGAAAGAAAAATAGTAGATAGATAAAATTCTATTTAAATAGAATTTTCTAAGTCAGCTTTATTTAAATATAAGTTACTAGGTGGATTACTTAATAGATAAATAAATCATGTTAAGTGACATTTAAAGAATTTTGACAAAAGTATATAGCCATGTAATATTCATTATAGTTAAAGTATGTAACATATAAATCATCCCCAAATATTTCATGTATTGCTTTGCAGTCAATCCTCCTGCCCCCAATCAAACACATCCTACCACAGGTACTAGCAAACACAGATCTGTTTTCTCTAGTTGTAGGTGAGTTAATTATAGATTAGTTTTGCCTGTTCTAGAATTCTGTAAGAATGTAATCACATATTACATTTTCTTGTGTCTGGCTTTTTTTGATCAGCCTAAGATTTTTAAGAATCATCAAAGATAACCCATGGCAGTTCATTGTCTATGATTTTATATAGCAGTCCCCTGTGTGTGTGCATGTTCGTGTATAAATATATTTGGTTTGTTTCTAGATTTGAGCTATCATGAAAATATATTGTGATGAAAACTGTACACACATCTTCCTGTGGACACATTTTAATTTCTCTTAGGTAACTACTTAAGGTAGTACGCTGTTATTTTCAAAAATTGAATTGCAATGAAAAAAATCTCATAAAGAAAACTCCAGGGCCAAATGGCTTCACTAGTAAATTCTATCAAAGGTTTAAGGAATACATCATGTCAATCCTACACACTCTTACAGAAAATAGAGGAACAGGAAACCTTCTCTCATTTTTTGTTCTCCTATATGTGGTATGTTTTTCTTCCAGCTGTTTTTCAATTTTTTTACAGGCTTTCAGCAGTTAATGGATTTGCTGTCTTTCTCCTTTCATCATCCTGTTTTTTGGTTTGTTGAAGTTCTGAATTATAGTTTTCATCAAATTTGGGTAATCATCTATTAACATTTTTTGAATATTTTCCTTTCTGTCTCTACCTTTCCTACTGGAACTAAAATTGCATATATGTTGGGTAGTTTGAGTCTTCCCTCTCCTTACATTTTTTGGATAGTTTCAAGTGTCATGTCTTCAAGTTCACTGAACTTTGCTTCGGCAACAGCTCATCTGTTAAATCTACCCAGGGAAGTTTTCACTTCAGACACTATTTTTTTCCACCTTCAGAAATTCCCTGACCAATTAAAAAAAAAGTATTCTATTTCACCCCTCATTATAAACATTTGTTTTTTATTTTTGCCATAGAGCCTGTGTGTTTGCTGGAGAGAGATAGAGAGAGAGGAAAAGAAAGAATTCATCCCCCAGATGGGATGGCCATGCCATAATCCCTTCTTTTCTGTTCTTCTCTTAGGGTTTTGAGCATGCACACGTATGCTCCCAAGACTCTAAACATGCAGGGGGATATGTGGGATGCAGTGCCTTAACTTCCATGCCTCCTGCTGGCTTCATCATCTTTTAAATGTAATTCTTGAATATACTTATAATAGCTTTTTAAAAGTTACTTTCTGCTAATTCCATTGTTTGTTATTTGGGGATCTGTTTGGATTTTTTTCCTTCCAGTTCTTAAGCACATTTTCTCTCTCTCTCTCTTTTTTTTTTTTTTTTAACAGAGAGATTTTTGCTATTGGGTGCATGTGCTTGCTGGAAGGACAGAGACGGAGACAGAAAATAAGAAATTACCCTCTGGGGGTTGGCTATGCCGCTGGTCCCAGTCACATTTTTTTTCTTTCTTAGATTTTTTATAATTTTTTGACCGGATGTTTAACACTGAAAATAAAATTTTGGTTAGTATATAGATATTCTTGCTTTCTTTTAAAGAGTTTTTTCTTGTATTGTCAGAAAATTATTTATAATCACCATAAGCCTTTTGAGGGAAGCTTTTAAGTTTCGCTAAAGCATTTTTAGAGAAACACCTCTTAAACTAATTTAATCCTATTCCTATGCTGTGGCCCTCTGGGGTTTCCACTAAATGCCCTCTGTGTTTAACTAGGTATCCCATTTCTATCTTGTCAGAACCTGAACATCTCCTTGTTTTACGATGCTTCTAGGAATTGTTCAAGTTTATAGCTGTGATAATCTTCCTTTGAAGAGCCTGTGGCATTCCATTCTATGCATGTACATAATATTTAATGAAAGAAACAGGTTTCTGGCCCTTTCTTCTCTGCGTTTTCTCTTCATTCTCCAGTATTCTACCCTGAAAATTCTAGTTCCCTGGCTTCCTCCAATTCTGTCCTCTGTGTATCTAATTCAGTAAGGCCTCTGCGTTCCACTTGTGTTTCTATTTCGCTCTGCCATATTCCAGAAAGTGCTCCAGGAAGAACACTGAGATGACTGCAGGACTCATTTCATTTTGCTTTTAGACAGCTCAGTCCTAGGCTTTCTATTGTCCAATATAGGAAACAGTAGTTTCACATATTTTATAGATGTTTATAATGGAAACAGTCTTGATACCAAATACTGTATCATTACCTACAATTTACTGCTTTAAAAAATATTTTAATAGACTTTATTTTTCAAAGCAGTTTTAGCATCACAATAAACTGAGTGGAAATTAGAGTTCCACATACTCACTGCTGCCACACACGCACTGCTTCCCTCACCATCAACATCCTACCCTAGAGTAATAGCTTTGCTATAATTGACACATAATTATTATCCAAGGTTCATAATTTTACTATTTATTCTTGGTCTATGGATTTTGACAAATATATAATAACATGTATTTACCCCTATAATATCACATAAGTTAGTTTCACTGCCCTAAAAATCCTGTGTGTGATTCACATATTCATCTCTCCTCCTAACTCCTGACAATTACTGATCTTTTTACTGTCTCCAGTGTTGTCTTTTCTAGAATGTCACAGAGTTGGAATCAACAGTACGAATCATTTTCAATTGACTTCTTATGGTTGCAATATGCATTTAGCTGTCCCTCACCTCTTTTCATCGCCTGATAGCTCATTTATTTTTTGTGCTAAACTCTATTTCATTGGATGTACCATAGTTTACCCATTCACCTACTGAAGGATGATTTGGTTTCCTCCATGATTTGACAATTATGAATAAAGCTGCTGTTATTTGTGTATGTAGGCTTTCAATTCATTTGGGCAAACACCAAAAAGTGAAATTGCTATTAAGAGATCATATGGTAGAAGAGTGGTTTGTTTTGTAATAAACTGCAAACTACCTTCCTTCCAACATAGCCATACTATTTTGTATTTATATCAGCAATGAATGAAGACTCAATTGTTTCCACACCTTTGCCAGCATTTATGTTGACAGTGTTTTGAATTTTGGCCATTATAACAGATGTGCAGTGGTATCTTAGTTTGCAGTTCCCTAATGACATATGATGTTGAATATCCTTTTATATGCTTATTTGTCACCTGTGTGTGTTTAATGCTTGTTGTTGCTGTTATTATTATTATTTTGGTTAGGTTTCTGTCCAAGTCTTTTGCCCATTTTCCAACTGGATTTTTCACTTTATTATTATTGAATTTTAAGAGTTCTTTGTATGTTTTAAACAGCGGTCCTGTTTCAGGTATGGCTTTTGTAACTATTTCCTCCCAGTTTGTGGTTTATCTTCTTATGCTCTCAACAGTGTCTTTCACAGAGCAAAAATTTTGAATTTTCATTGTCTGGCTTATCTATTTTTTCTTTCATATGCTTTTTGATGCTAGAGCTAAAAAAATCACAAAAACCAACATCATTTAAGTTTTCCATGTTATCGTCTAAAAATTTTATAGTTTTATAATTTATGTTTAATATCATCTATTTCAAATTAATTTGTGAAGGATGTATGGTCTGTGTATAGTTTACTTCTTATTTATGTATTTTTTATGTAGTCATACAGTTGTCCTAATACCATTTGTTGAAAAGATCATCTTTTCTACATTGTATTGCCTTTGGTCTTTTGTCAAAAATCAATTGACTATATTTGTGTGGGCCTGTTTCTGGTATCATTTCATCCCATTTATCTATTTGTCTGTTCTTCTGCAAATGCCATAATGTTTTGATTACTATTCGGTTTACCATTGCTTTACAGTTCGTCCTTCCTCACAATTTACTTCTAAATGTTGAATTTGTATTCAGCAACGCTAATGAACAATTAATTTTAATAACTTCCATAGATTCTTCTGGATTTCCAACAAACAGAATCATGTTGTCTGCCAATAACAGTTTTCTTATTCTTATAGTTTTTTTTTTTTTTTTTTGATGGATTGCACTGAACAAGGACCTCATATCATGTGGAATAGAAGTAATACTAATGGCCATATTTGCTTTAGCTCCGAATATTTAGACGAATTTTTCAACATTTCAACATTAATTGTAAAGTCTGCGATAGTCCTTATCCAAGTCCAATAATCATTAATTAGCCACTCGATTCTGAGCTCTTTTTATTTCCCATACTTTACTGGTCATACAGCATTTTCTGTACTACCTATGATTAGATATCCTTACGCGCTTGTAGGGCAAGGTTCTTACCTTTATCTCCCACTTGCTAAACTCAATAAATGCATTGCTCAATATTTGGCCATCGTGTTTCTAAATCTTGCATCGTTAACATTTACTCGTTCGGCTTGGGTTTTCTTTAGAGTGGGCATGGAAAAATGTTTTAATCACTTACTCATATATCACGCCTGATTTCAAACGGGAAAAAGGCACAAAGTAGTACCAACTCTGCATGCAATCAAATCATCACGCTACAAATGTATTTTCTAGTAGTGCTCATTAGTGCACAGAAGTGGAAATACTTGATTCAGTCACACCAACAAAAAGAACAGAACTAACTTTTCCCAACCAAAGTGTTAAATGTTCTGAGGGATCACCATTTCTTCAGAACTCACTGTAACTACTCCTTGAGAGTCTATCTCGAGAACCGCCTTCCAGTTATATGATCCGGACAAGACTTAGGCGGGAACTGGACGCAAGAGTGAGGGGTGTGAGGCCGGACTCGGCTGTCCGGGTCCGGCTTCCCGCTGGGTTCTAGCAGAGAAAGGCTACACCGCTCCAGGAGAGAGGTTCAGGCGGGACTTCCCGTCTAATCCCGCCCGGCGGTCGCTCCCACCCGTTAATTTGTCTCAGGGACAGCAGTGCGCCTGCTCCCAGCGAAGGCCCTAGCAACGTGCCTAGCAACGTCCTGGCTCCTCCCCCTGGTGTCTCCGGGAAAGCGCTCCGCCAGGTCCGCTCACGCTCACGGCTCGGCTCGCTCCTACGGCTGCGGGAACGCGGAAGACGCGTGGACCTGTGTGAGGACCCACGGTCTGGGCTGTGCAGGTCTGAGTCCCACTCCGATCCCGGTTGCTGGTGTCCGCGCTTCTCTGGAGACCAGTGGTCTGTCCCGAAAGGTGCAGCCGCTGGGAGTGGACGTTTCTTGTCAGGGCTCTAGCGGAGGTCGTGCTAGGTGTCGTCGTGTGGTCGGTCCCTTCGCGGGCACTTGCATCTGAATCTTAAAGGCCCTTTGGGAAAAGAGCTTCCAAATTTTTCCTCAAAAAAAAGTTTGTTTTAGTCCCTAATTTTAGGTACTTTCCACCCGAAGGAAAGGCTTTACCAGCAAAGTCAGTACCCTAGGGACACCACTCTTTATTTTTTAGTGTTTGGAATGGTTTGCAAGGGATTGGTAATCCCGGACACGGAAGAGATATGCCATGCAGCGTATTTAAAATGTTCAGCTTATAAGTACATAATAAGCAACAGAGTGTGTTTCTTGTAAATTATTCTTGGGAATGTAGGAAGTATTATTAACACTTTGAGATACCAGTTCCGCAGATGCCGGATGTTAACCCGATATTTAAGATCGCAGCATTTAAGGATTGCACCTCATAACCTCAGGGTACCATGGAAAACAGTCTGCCTACCATGTAGTGGGTAGTGTGGGAGAGGCCATTTGTGTGTGTTTGTGTGTGTGTGTGTGTGTGTGTGTGTGTGTGTGTGTATTTAAGATGGTACCGCAGATTTTACAAAGTGACAGTTGAACCTGTATGCATTATATGTGAACAGGTTCTTAAAGGAACTCCAGAAGGAAACTTTGAAGTGACTTTTATCTATAGTACTGAATTGGCCCACAACTTAGAATTTTGTATATATAACATTTCATTGGGAGGTGCGTTAACCTTACAATAATGGAAAAGTTAGGAGCCTTTTTCATTATTGCTTTGCAAGAAAAAAAAAATTACCAGGCTGCAGATGGCCTGTAGTTTATCAGGTACTCAGCACTTAAGTATCTGACAGACTTCTTACATACTGGATGCCAGTTTTTCAGAATGATTTTGATGTAGTTAACAGGTATTTGTTGGATTCCTGTTGCTTAAGAATAAGGAATAAGCAATATTGAAAAGAATTCTGTACTTACAGAATTGAATGATAGGAGGAATAACTGCACTAAAAGGTCCTTTTAAATTAAGACATTTTTTCATTTCAAATGTAGAAATTATAATTACTACTAAAGGTAGAGAGGTATCAGAGATTGCCTTAGACTGTGAATTCTTAAGTAAGTGAATTAGAGTCTAACTTTCAGACTGAAAATAGTACTGTGCAAGGTAGAATTTATGCAACTTGGTAAGTAGAATTAGTTTTGGTGGGAAACTGGGTAGAAAGAGGAGTAAAAGATGAATGTATTCAGCCTAATGGCAGAATGATAGTCCAGTCAAATTTCTGTTTTAGGATGACTCCCAAGCTCTGAATAACTCTGGACTAAAAATTCTTTTTCTTTTGTTTGTTTTCTCCTGCAAGAATGTCAGGCAATATCAGAACAAACCCAAAACAGGAGTGTAGATGAAACCTAGTTTCCTAAGTACAGTGATGAGACCTCTATTGGCTTGTGACATTTGGCATTTGGTGACCAACTAATTGTGCTATGATTTTTGGTTACTAATAGGATCTTTTTCCAAATATTTAGGATTGTTTTAGGCCCTACACTATTTCTTTTTTTAAATCTAGTCAAGATTTCTTTTCCTTTTCTCCCCCCCCCCTCCCAATAGAGAAAGAGACAGAGCGAGAAACAAGGAATCTTAGTAATCACATTGCAGGGGGGATGGCCATGCCACAATCTGTTCTCCATACTTCTTTCAGAATTTTGGGCATATACACGCACACCTAGCATGATTTTCAAGCTGCTGGGTCCAGGACTTGAACCATGGTCAGCCAAGTGGGAGTAGTCAGATTTTGTTAACTGCTTCTGTAGTTGGACTTAGGAGATCTGCAAACCACCTGAAATTGTGTACAGAATACTGTGTCTATATGGGCATTTTCTAGGGTTAAGATCTAAGATTTTCATGCAGTGCCTAAAAGAATGAGACTCAAGAAATGACGACAGGTTAATATCTTTCACTCTTCGGTGGTTGAGGGCAAGATCGTAAAGATGGAAGCCACATTTTATTCAGGCAATTGGAGTGGCAGTCAGAAGTAGAAAATGTTTTCCATTTAAGGCAGGAAGAAGGGATTGGACCATCATTCTCAAATATTACTTCCTCTAAGCAATCCAAGATGTACATCTTTGCCTAATCAGTACACAGCAAACATGTTTACTATATTTTGGTTCCCACCTTAGGTAAATTTTGCAAGTATATTTTCCTATTCCTTCAATGACTGGCATCTGTTCTTTACATTTCTTTATTTGGGTCTCAAGCTCATAGGCATTTACAGTCTAGAAAAGCTCTTAATGACTAATGAAATTAGTGTCACTAGGTTCTTAACAAATTATGTTGTATTTTGTTTCTCTGGACTTGTTGTTCACTTTCTTTTTGAAAGACCACAGAAAGTTTCCTGTTGGAGTCCCAGCATTTCTCTTGTCAGGGTTTGTAGTAAAAGTGTCTGGAGCTTCACAGTTAAACAACACGTTGCCATAGGCTTTATAATAAAAGCATCATTTTACAGCTGTGGAATGCGTATCAAATCAGTAGGGCCCCAGTATCTTTTCTCCCTTGAAAGATATCTTGCTTACTGGGTATGGAAATAATAATTTTGGCAGCCATCCCCCTTCTTTGAAGAAAATATTAAGTGGGAAAGTTATTTTGCTATCTTCTCTCTAGTATTAAAGAATTTGAATAATGTATATATTTTTAAAAACAGTGTAAGTTATTAGAATAAGTGAATGTTAATGTTACTCTGTAAGCTCTTAAAATGTATAAGAAATATTTCACTTTAAGGGGATATTTTATAAACTGGCAGTAGATGTCTGATTTTTTAGTGATTATTTAGTTTTTTTAATCTACATTTACCTGTAGTGGGTGCATGTACGTGTGTGTTTCAAGTTGGAGAAGAATGTATCTTTTAGAACATAGCTATCTACATTTAACTGATTTCCCTAGAACCTCCTTTGTTCATTAAAGTTCAACATAAAATTTAATGTCATATAATGTCACTTTAGAGTCAGAGCCTACAGGATAGAGTATATGCCCAACTGAGACTAACATGAAAGCACTGACTTCCTAATGTTTAGTAAACGAAATTGCCATCTCTGGAACAAAAGGGATTTTTTAAAAATGGATCATTAATACTTAAATTTTAATTTGAAATACTTTTTCTAAGATAACAGCCTTCTATTTTTATGGCAAGATTGGACCAAAAGGGTAACTTATTTATTGTTTTGAGTTTATTTTTTTAAAATTTTATCTTTAAATAATACCAATTTAGTGCTTTTAAACAACTTAATAACCTTGTTAACAAGTACTTAAAAACAGCACAGAATTGTGAATTAAATAACTTTCTTTGTAGACAATGAATAATATGTTTCTTGTTTTTATTTTAACTCCCTCTCTATCCTTTTTTTTCCTTACAGTGCACCTATGATATGTTATTTAGAAATAGATGTTAAACTTTGGTTTGAATGAAGAATGTCTCTCAATTCACCTCTATTTCTCAAAGAAAGTGAAGAAAATTCAAAATTTGTAGAATCCAAACAATCACAAATAACTTCCATAGCCTCAGAAGATCCCCTTCAAAACTTATGCTTAGCATCTCAAGAAGTTCTTCAAAAAGCTCAGCAAAGTGGGAGATCAAAATGTCTCAAATGTGGTGGTTCAAGAATGTTCTACTGCTATACATGTTATGTCCCAGTTGAAAATGTGCCTGTTGAACAAATTCCACTTGTAAAGGTTGGTTAAGAAAAAATTGGTTGCTTGAAAGTAAGGATATAGATTTCAAAAAGACATTTATACCTGCTCTAATGTAATTGATTAGCTTGACAGTATCATTATGAAAATGTATTATATTAATGGAGAATTTAGTCCTGTTGGCTGCTAAGCCTACTTGTTTTTCTTGCCTCTGGAAAACATGTAAGTCTGAAATAATGGGTATTATTTTTCATGAGATGAGTTATGTTTTAAAGGTTATAATTTATTTGCACCATAAGAAAAAATGTGGTATAAACATGATTACAGGGAATTTTATAGACTACCTGATGGAGCTTCAAAAATTATCCAAGTTCTTGGACTGCTCCTTAAGAAAACACTGTCCTAATAAAAGAAGGGTTAATTTTTGACTAGACTTTGATAACTTAGCTCCATCCTGTATGGTGCAGATGTCAGTGTCCAAAACTAAAGTAAAATACAATTTAAAATACTATTTAATAGACTAAGACCTATATTTTTTTCAATAATGTAATAGTGATTTTAATCCAGATTTAAAGAGTTACTTAAATTGATTTCTTATCTTTACACTTCGATAATTACTAAGACTATTTGTATTTATTTATTTTAGAGATTTGTTTTTTCTCTGTAGGGTGTGTTTGCTCACCAGAGAGAGAGAGATAGAGAGACAGAAAGCAAGAAATCACCCTGCAGGGAGGATGGCCATGCCTTGATCCCTTCTCCTCCATTCTCCTCTCTAGATCATCAGCACACACGCATCTATACCCAGTGTGAGTTTTAGGGTCTGGTATTTGAACCACGGTCAACTATGTGGGATTCCAGCAACATAACCATTACATTATGCCATCTGCTAGTCCCTACTTTTATTTTTATTTCTTTTAGGTTTTGCTCTAGGGCACATGTGCTTGTTACAGAGAGGAAGAGAGGTGGGAGGGGGGTGCAGGGGATGAGAAATCAACCCCCAAGGGGATGGCCATGCCACAGTCCCTTCTCTTCCAGTTCCTTTGGGAGGGATTTTGGGTACACATGCACATGTGCTCAGAGTGATTTTCAAGCTTCCAGTTCTGGGATTTGAACCATACTGTAGAACATGTGGGATCAAGGACCTTAACCTCCACACTGCCTGCTGACCCTCTAAGATTTTTTAAAACTTAATCTATGGACTATCATTTGTATACATAATCAAATAATTTATTGCATATATATTAACTTATCTAGCACTGATCTGAACTTTAGGAGTAAATCCAATAGTGTTACTTTCTTTTTTTATTTATTTGTTCCATGAATGGGTCAGAGAAAGAGAGAAGAGAGAAAATAGCACCTCCCAGCAGTGTCTTGATGCCACCAGCCACCCTCAGCTTGCTCTAGATCATATGGGTCTGTCTCACAAAGTATTGGGCTTTACAGCTGTGCAACTATCCAGCCCCAATGTATAAAATTTCCTGCTGTCTATTAGGACTTTAGAGAGACTTAATTGTATACATGAACTCATTGAAACTTGCCAGTGAGAAAATAAATTACAGCTGTATTTTGAAATATTGTGGTGATTTTGAGGCTCATTTAAATTTGAAGTAAGGAAAGTACTTTAACTTTGGTATTTTGTTACCCAAATTTCAGGTTAGCCCAACATTATCTTGGCAAGTCCTTGGTCTCTTCAGGAGTCTAAAATCACATGTACAGGCTAGTGGAAAGTTTACTGGCCAAGAATAAAGAAGTATAGAATTTAATATAAGCTTCACAGTTTACTCAGAAGAATTGAGAGCTTGTGGTTAATAATTCTTTTCAAATTTCCCATTATATTATGGGAACATTATATTACAAATTACAGTTTTTGAAAGTATATATAGAATTTTTCTACTATTTACATTATAGCTACATGAAATATCCCATTAACAGTTTTATCTTAAAACGTATTATGCTCAATAAAGATTGCAGATCAGGATAATAAAAGTCAAACATATGTTTATAGGGCCAATATTTTAATAGAAATTTAATAATAGAGTATTATTTTCCAAATCCTGTCCCGATGTCCACTATTTAATAGAAGTAACTCAAAATAGCATGCCAACTGTTTGATCAATTCTAAATCATCTGGACTGTGAAGAATTTTCTAGTGTTTATATTTTAAGGCCATATAAAATTTAGTATATTAATATATATTAATAGCAATAACTGCAAAATGTTCTTTCTAATTTCTGCCTTATTTTTATTTTAACAAATCAGCATTTGCTTTTAGTAGCCCACTTCAGAAGAAAGGATCACTGCATAATGAATTTCTTCTAAGTTTTAGGCTTTAGACTAGGGAATGGATTTATAAATGTCTACATTTTAATGCAAAATAGGATTGTTTTAAAGTAATGAGAAATGCCTAACTAAAAAGATCCTCTTGGGACTTCTTTAAGAGAGGAGAGAAAAATTAGAAGGGAAAAGAAGACTTCATGTTAGAGTTCTAGACTTGAAAAGGCATTCTTTACTGTGTTTGAGAGAGTTGATAGTCACAGGAAAAAAATGCTTAATGTCTCTTTGCTAATGACTCTTTGGAAATTTGGGGCAGGAAAACTTGTGGTAAATCTCTTGTTGAAAATATACCCATTTGGGGCTGGCAGGTGGTGTGGTGGTTGAGGTGCTGGACTCCCACATGGCTGACCATGGTTCAAGTTCTGGACCTGGCAGCTTGCTTTCTCACTCTCCCTTTCTCTCTGTCTATTTCTCTCTGGCCAAAATGGAAGAATAATGATAGTAAATATAATTAAAAATAAATAAATCTTTAAAAAATATATACCCATTAGAGAACGGATAATGCGCTTCACATGTTTGTTAATAATACACCTTTATGCAAACTGCTCTCTGGCCAACCATATTGGTATTACTCTGTACCCTATTAATTTTTGAGAAGTATTTTCCTTTAAAATGTGAACTGTAACATGAGCCTGTATTTTCATGATTTGGTACTGTTTTTGTGTTTTGGTTTCATGGGGGACTAGGGCCTATCAGGGATATGTTATTCATAGTATCCTATCCTCACAGAATCCTCCAGAAAGAAAATACATGAAATTGAGACTGTCTAGTAGCATGTAGCAACTGTTCCTTTTAAAAACAGGTTTTGAGAACCAGCAGATGGCCTAATGGTTACATTGCTGGATGTAGTCAGCCATGGTTCAAATCCCATACCCGGTGACTTAAAATTTATACCAGGCCTGTGTGCATGTGTGTCTCAAATCCCAGGAGGAGAAAGTATTGCGGCTTGGCCTTACCCCTGGGGAGTGATTTCCTGCTTTCTGTCTCTGTGTCTCTGAGGTGAGCACATGTACCCTACAGCAAAAATCTCTCTTAAAAAAGAAAGAAAGAAAAATAGCTTTTGAACTAATGATACAGACAGCCACATGGATGAATATCAAAATAATTACTCTGAGTAAAAGAAGTCAGATGAAGATTATAGATGTATGATTCATATGTATGATTCCTTTTACATAAAACTAAAGAATGTAAAC